TCCAGTGCGATATTTAAATTATTTTCAATATCCTTAACACTGGAGGAGCAACAGGTTAACGTTGAGTCATCAGCATACATAAATAGTTTACAGTTTAGAGGAATACAAGGTGACAGATCACTGGAATAAATAATAAATAACAGTGGTCCCAAAATCGATCCTTGTGGTACGCCAGTGTTTAATGGCAAAGGTTTTGACAATTTCCCACCAATATTAACAGATTGACTTCGATCGCTTAGGTAAGATGTAAACCACATAATGACAGAAGCAGACATATGCATATGCCTAAGTTTATCTAGGAGAATTGTATGGTTTACAGAGTCAAATGCTTTACTGAGATCAATAAAAACAGTACCAGTCATTTCACCACGCTGCATAGCATGAAGAGATTCATTCGTTAAGTCATGCAATGTTGTTTCAGTTAAATGCAATGGTCTAAACCCCGATTGGCAGCGAGGAATAAGATTATTTCCATTAAGGAATGAATAAACAGCCGAGTGCACCCATCTTTCTAAAATCTTTGAAATAATTGCAAGTATTGAAATGGGCCTATAATTGCTAGTATTGCATTTGTCTCCTCCTTTGTGAATCGGTGTGACTAATGCATGTTTCCAATCTGAGGGATACTGTTCACATTTAATTGAGAGGTTCAATACTTGCGTTAATGATTTAATAATGTACGGAGACGCAAGCTTTAGCATTTTTATACTAACGCCATCCGGACCAGTTGCTTTGCAAGGCGACATTGCTGTGATTTGTTTTCGAACAAAATCTTCCGTGATATTAGGCAGAGTACATTGCTGAATTGGTTCAGAATAAGACAAATGGGCATTGTCCATTTCAAGTTCGCGCGTGACGTCGTCACTACTTATACGTCCTCCAATAGTGGAGAAATGCTCATTAAATATATCAGCAATTTCGGCTTGATTTTTACACTTTTTCCATTTTTTGAAGTGATTGAGTTTGGAACCGATTTCGGTTTATTCGGAAGAGCCTCTTTTAACTTCTTCCACAGCATGGAAGAGTCTCCTTTGTTAGTTTCAATCGCTGATGTGAAATACTCCTTTTTCTTTTTACGGATGCTGTTGGTTACGGTATTCCATAGTTTTTTGTATGCGTCCCAATCATCTTCAGAGTTAGATTGTTTTGCAATTTCAAGAGTGCGATCGCGTTGACGCATAAGTCGGGTAATTTCAACATCAAGCCAAGGTAAAGAGGTGCTTCGAACGCGTTTGGACTTTATCGGAGCGTGATGGTTAATGACACCCATAAATAGGGAGTGCCATAGACCCCATGCCTTCTCAACTCTGTAACAGGTTAGAACATTTTCCCATGGAACATTCAGGAGATCGCGTTGGAAAGTTTCATTATCTAAGTTGTTAAACATCTAAAATTAACATAGCGACTTTCGTTTTTAGGGATTTTCCAATTTTGTATACCGTACACCAAGTAGTGGTCACAAATGAGTACAGGTAAGACACCACTTTCATTTATTACATCAGGCTTCGAGCTAAAAATAAGATCGATCGTGGTTTGGGTGGAATTTGTGACGCGGGTTGGGTCGTGTATGAGTTGCGTCATTTGAAACAAATCGAAGCATGTGGATAAAAGATTGGTCTATTTTTGTCGTCTGACATATCGATGTTAAAATCACCAAGTACAATTATTTGTTTGCATTCACAAGATGCTTTTTCGATAGTTTCATTCAATTTGTCAATAAAGGCAACTGAACTTGAGGGCGGTCTATAAATAGAACAGATAAGTATAGGCCGCCTTTGCTTGCATTTAATTTCAACCCAGATGAATTCGACATCATCTGTTTCTAAGTTTTCTCGACGACTAAACGTCAGGCTATTTCGTATATACATAGCAACCCCTCCCCCGTGGCGATTTATATCTTTCCTTACAAGGGAAAAGTCAGGAAGATTAATCTCGTCGTTTGAGATTGATGAGTCACAAAACGTTTCATTTAAACAGATGATATCAAATGGATTTTTAAATAACAATATTCTAAAGTGATTAATTTTATTTATTATACTCCTCACATTAATGTGAGCAAAGGAAAAGCAACCTTGTCGTTAGTTATAAATAATACCATCAGTCAGGATGACATTGGACCCTTGCGTTCTCATGGATCCCTGTGATCCAGTGGGTTGAGCAGGTTTCTGATAGTTGAGAGGTGTTGATTCCACTCTTTGTTGTCTGGTTGTTTCGCGTGCAGATTTCTGGTTTAAAATATCACCGGTTTTGATTGGTGGTGTCGAGTCCATTTTCGTGTCGGTTGATACTGGTTGGATAGACGAAAAAACTTCGGACTTCTACGCGCTTGTTCCGCTACCGGTTTCTCATTCATTCATTCATTCAAAAGACATTTATTAACTTCCAATTGCAATCATACAGAAAAATACAAAAAATC